TCGGTGCAGCACAGTACCAAGATTTGAAAATATACCAGTAAAAAAAATAGTCACGAACTGGTAAGAAGAAACTAAACTTGGCCTTTCTTGAAAAGCTTGTAAGGATTGATGAGTGAAAAAGAAATGAAGTTTAATAGGATAGTTAAAGGTACAATATGAGACTGAGGTTTTCCAATCGAGTTTCCGTGTTGCCCACAGCACAGATCCAGCCCTGGTCAAAGTGACTAATGACATTCTGTCCATCTTCGACCAGGGCTCCCTCTACCTCCTCGTCCTCCTTGACCTCTCTTCTGCCTTCGACAGCGTTGACAACTCTATCCTCATCCACTGCCTCTCCTCTCACATCAACCTTCAGGGCTCTGTCTGGTTCAAGAAAGTACCTCTCCACTTAATCTCCACAAACGGCTTCTCCTACACTGATTGTCCAGCGTCCTTGGTCCCCTCTATATGCTCCCTCTTGGTAACATCATCCGCAGACATGGGTCAACTTCCACATGTATGCGGATGACACCCAACTCTACCTCTCTGCCTCCACCCTTGACTCCAGGACCACTCCTGTCTGACAGAATGTCAGAGGTAATTTTCTCCAGTTGAACATCAACAAGATCGAGGCTCTCCTGATTGGCTCCCGTCAGCGCCTCCTCATCTCAGGCGCTGACAGCATCACCATCCATGGTCGCACACTCCACCTTACTAAGCCAGTTCGGAAAATTGGCAACTTGTTTGACCCTCAACTATCCTTTCTACCCCACATCTGCACCATGACCCGCTCTGCCTTCCCCCATCTCCGCAACGTCGCCCGGCTCCGCCACTGTCTCACCGTAGGCCCCCGAAACCCTCAAACAAGCTTTCATTACATCGAGGCTTGACTACACAAATTCATCGCTTGTCAGATTCTCCAATTTCTCACTCCAAAGGCTGCAGATCATCCAGAACTCTGCAGCCTGTGTCCTCTCCCACACTAGGCTCCATGACCCTATCACCCCCATCTTCGCCGGACACTACTGGCTTCCCATCACACAGAGAATATAGTTCAAGATCCTGATCCTCACCTTCAAAGCCCTCTATGGTCTTGCCCCCCCCCCCCCCACCTCTGCGACCTCCTAATTCCCTACCATCCTGCTCGCTCCCTCCGCTCAGCGGACTCCAGCCTGCTTCACGTCGCCCGCCTCGCTTGCACCACTATTGGCGGGCGGGCCTTCTGCCATTCTGCCCCCACTCACTGGAACTCCATCCCGCAGTCTTTCCGCCTCGCCCACTCCTTTGCCACCTTCACGTCCTCCCGACGTGAAAGGCGCTCTATAAATGCAATTTTGTTGTTGTTGTTGTTGTTGTTCAAGATCCATCTCAAGATCCTCCTCTTCGACCAGGCTTTCGATCACCCTGCTTCCCCCCCTACCCTCCACCCAACCCGACCCCCAGCTTGGGTCCGAAACTCTTCCCATCCAGTGCTTTGGGACATTCCCCCTCCAACGTGAAACGCACTATACAAATGTAATTTTTTTGTTGTTGTTGAGGTAAAATCTTAGTCACTGGATCATTTGCTTTCAGTTGATTTGGTGCTAGATATTAGCCTGACACAGTTAGTAGCACTCGCTCGGAGTGAAAGGTTGTGGGTTCAAGCCCCATATTGAGACTTTGAGTTAATTTCTAGTCTGACATTCCAGGGCAAAGGAACTCTGAATTGTTCGAAGTGCTGTCCTTCAGATAGAACGTTAAACCGTCATACCTGTCTGCCTGTTCAAATGGCACTATTCAAAAATAGAAGGGAGTTTCTCCTGGTTTTCTAGCCAACATTAAAATCAGTCAATTCATGGCTATTTGTGGGACATTCTTTTGTACAAATCAGCGCCTTGGGACGTCCTCCCGATGTGAAAGGTGCTCAATAAATCGAATCTTGTTGTTGTTGTTGTTGACATTCTTTTGTACAAATTGCCTGCTGCATTTGCCTACAAAATACATGGTTGCTACACGAACATGTGATAAAGCGCCATATCAAATGAAAGGATTATTCTTTGCCCCATCATTGATTATTACACATTTTTAAACAATAAGCCAGTCAGGGCCATCAAGTTATAAAGTACTTTAAACTGAGCTTTTTGTTTTGGTCAGCTGGGGGTCTGACACATGAGCAAACCCATCATTATGCATCCAAACCAAACTGAGTTCCATGCATCCCAACTATGCTTGGAAATTCCTGATACAAGGAATGGAATGCGCACTCACTCCTTGGAGTGTCGGACTCTTCTTACTTAAACCAGGAGAGTATTAGGCACAGGTTGATTATAGCCAAAGCTTGTGCGCTGGGATGCCGCTGGAGTCGTCCAGCAAAAAAGCATGCTGTATGGTAAGCTTTCCCGCTGCTTGTCCAGTTAGGAACACCCTACCCATTAGGGCTTTGGCTTGCAGGATTAATGGGAGCTGAATGGGAAGACTCCCCATCCCCTGTGACTTGTCTGCCCTTCAAAGTCCTGCTGATGAACCAGGCTGGCTGGACTATCATCATTAGTGCCCTGGAGTACTACAGACCCGCCTGGCTCAGGAATTGGACACCCAAAGCCATCACAAGGGCTCGAACGTGACATTCCGTTGCCAAATACGTCACCTTGGAGCTAGTTCAGCTCCAAGGCGATAGTCCAAGGAGGATAGTCACTAGTTTGTCATTTGGCATCTGACAAGCACAGGTTTGAGCCCTCACTAGCTGGATAGCAGGTACTAAGAATACCCTGTGGTCTTCCTGGTGGGTAACACAGCTCAGCATGAAATGCATGAGAGCATCACCACTATCTTCCTGACTACAGTTCAGACACACATTCCTTCCGATTGAGCGATGCTTCTACCAGCTGGAGGTGCAAAGCTTAACCAGCAGCTCCAAACCAATCAAAGTGGATTCCAAGCCTTGGATATACAAACGTGTGTTCACAAACTCAGACTCCACAAGCAAGGGCTTGGATCCTCCAGAGTACCTTCACCTAGAACCACTTTAAAGTATATTTCTTCCCTATGAATTTGTGTGGTATTTGCAGAGCATAAACTGACTTTCAAGTGACAGGGTCATTGTATTAAAGAAGAGAACCATTTCATCGTGAGACCCTGGCAGGGACCATTGTGACCATTAACTTGAAACGATAAAATCCATATACCTAACAAATTGAAACAAATAATCACGTATTTAATTGGCTGTCTGATGAACTTTAAATAGATTTCCCAATACAAATTAACAGAATATGTAGCATAGACTTGTTCCTATTAGGTCCATGTAAGGTCTGCTGTAGCATTATCCAATATCTGAAATCACCTATGTTTAACTGCATTGCTTTGTTCTATAATACAACAAAACATTTATCTTTCTGTCAAATAACCCAGAACACCTGCATTTATCTGCTTTGTTTAACTGATTCGCATTAGTCAGTGATGCAGAAAGCCTTTATCTTTCCCTCAAAGTTAGAAGCACAGCTGTAATTTTTTTCAATGTTTCAGCAAATGTTTCAGCAAATCTTTCAGGATAAAATGAAGCAAAGCAAATCCTATCCAGCACATTCTGGTATAAAGCTGACCCATTTTTAAAGTATACAGTTCCCCATGGATTTAGGTAGTATTTGTAGAGCATAAATTGGCTTTCATTGTATTAAAGAGGAGAAAGCTCTCCTCAAAGCTTACACTTCACCCTGTCTATATCCAGTCAATCTACAGTGCCAGCCACCAACAGAAGACCTGATTTTTGACATTTTCGTAACTGTGTTAGTTCACAGAAAATACTAGTAAATTATAATTACTGTATTTCATTCTCCTTGAGAGGGGCGATGTTTAAGGACAGCTTACAACATTTATTTGCGTCATACGGATTGTTTCATACGGATCAATACACATTAATAGGTTTGCTAATAACATCTCTCCAAATAATAAAGTTGAAACTCTCACTTTTAAGGCTTTCTACTGCCAAAACAGATTTTTGCACAATAATTCAAATTGCCACATTACAATATTATTACTTCGAGGTGAAAGCACAATAACAAAACTTAAGATTTTTTTGGGCGGGGGCGTTAAAAAGGGAAATGAGAGATATAAATGTCAGGACTCTCTGCAAGTAGGCAGGCACCACACTGCGTTTATTCGTGGGGATTGGGTCAAGCTATTCATTTTAATTTGACTAAATCAAAAGGCTGGCTTTGCTTTGCTGTTTGACACAGACAGAGAACAGACAGACAAGCGGCTGTGCCAGTCACCCCGAGGGCTGTTGTCAAACAAAGATTGCATTGTAATCGGCGGCGCAGGACAGACAGGGGAAGGAGGCAGTTGGAGAGGGGGTAGAGAGAAGGGCTTTTTACCCCCGTCATTGGGAACGGCTAGGCCACCCCTCCTTTCTTCCAGACTCTTGTCTGACCAGAGTCGGGTTAAGTTGTGAACGTTTCTTGACCCGCAGACACTGCTTGGCGGGTTAGTGACATGACAGCTCAGCCTCCAGAACTGGTTCCATTTTCCAGACGTGTCACCGATCTCTGGTCATTCCACCCCAGTTTAAAGTAAATCCTCCTCAAACACACACCTACCCTTCCCGTCACGGTCTTACTCCTCCATAACAGCTGAAAAAGCAGACGGTCCTTACCGGGATAGCCGTTACGTTTGACATTTTCAAACCCCCATCGTCCGTCCAACTGCCTGAAGAGAGAGACAGAAATCAAGCAATTACTATGCGCATGCTCGCCCGTCGCGGCGCATTACGGACTCTGTAGTTTTTACCGCCACTTTTACCAGGCGGTTAACGGCCACTCCGGACTACATTACCCACAATCCCTCTGAAGAGCAGGCTGGCGGCTCCTGTGGTGGCGCTCACCAACATTGGTGCACCGTCCCCTAACTCCCGCCCCCTATCTGAGCTGGCGGCGATTGGAAGAGCTAAGTCGGACTATTCCAGAAGGGCGCAGATTATTGGTTCATTGTACTGTCACTCACAGAGCTACCCAATCGGCTGCCAGCTGGACTGTAATTGACAGGTGGGGACGGCGGTTTTCCGGAGCGCGAGCCGGTGCCATTTCTTTCGGCCTGAGGACTCGACGAAGCAGGTTGGTTGCTGTGTGTGAGGGAGGGCGAGAGCCGCCGCGTGGTTCGCTTGATGGTTCTTATCTGTGCAGAGAAATAGTACGTGGGATGGGGGTCATTGTCAGTGGATGAAATTCGTTTGTGCCCAAGGAAGCTCGACGGTTGACCTTTTTTGTTTGGCCGCTCTGTGAGCGGTTGAAAAGCAGTTGGGAGAGAAGGAGCCGCAGCTTCCCCCGGGGGCGGGCGGGCGGGCGCTCTCTCGCTCGCGCAGCCCATGTCAGCTCAGTTGCAACCAGTGGTTTTAGAATCTTATTTCAAAAACAACCGCCCTCCTTTAAACCGTCTGTTTTGTACAAAACCTGCACTTTGCATAACCCCCATTTTGCATATCTTTTAGCCGTACTGTTAACTGTAACGCACGGTGCTCTTCAGGCCTGGCCCGCCTTGAGGACAGATCGCAAGTGTTTGAAGGATTAATCCAGAATAAAAGTTTACCGTATCATTTATAGCCTCGCGCATTCCCGCGCATTAAGGCACACACCTGCTGACGCGGAGACACCGGCTGTCCGCCGCCCTCCCGCCTCAGCAGCTTTCGCACCTCACAGTGCGGTTTCAGTCTCGGCCGCGGCCGTTTCTGCCACATTCCCCACTGCCTCTACTCGTGTTTGGTTCGATAGATTTTTAAAAACGAAAGTGACACCGGGACAGGGCGGGTAAATGGAGTTAAGGTTAGCAGCTCAGCCGTGATCTTACTGAATGGCGGGGACAGGCTCGAGGGCCTGAATGGCCGATTCCTCCTAATTCCTGCGTTCTTATGTTTTCTGATTATATTTATTTGGAGGCTGCATCTTCAGTCACAGTTTTGCTAAAGTTAAGGCTTGCGGAATTAAAGCCAATATTCTGGAATGCAATGCCTAGTTACAAACTTATATTTGCAATTTGGGGGACTTCCATTGTGCTGCGGATATTTCTGATATTGATCCAAAGAAATGATCTTTGCATATCCCCCCTTAACACATTACTGACTCACCACTCAACTGATTATTGACCTCTTAACCGTTGATTTGATTTTGTCAATTTCTTGAAATTTAACCATATTCTGTAATTTGTTCTGTATTTTTAGAGAAAAACCCCACATGTTCACTACACTTTCGTTCTCATGACTACTTTATTAGAAGACTGAATCTTAAATCTCCTACTGCAAGGTATGAGAGATTAATTTAGCACATTCTTCTTCCCCCCACCCGAAAAAAAAGATTTTTGTGACATACAGTAGTGCCTCATTGGCATTGATGAAAACATGCGCTGCCACCTTCTGACCAAATAATTCTCCCAAATGTTACTGATTACAATAGTAATTTACATCATAGAATTATACAGCCAAGAAGGAGGCCATTCAGCCCTGTGCCGACTCTGAAAAGAGCTATTTAAATCAATCCGACTCATTGCCCTCTCCCCATAGCCCTGTAAACTTGTCCTCCCCAAATAATTATAATAATACTTGCGTTTGATATAGTGCTTTTCACGTCTTCTAGACGTCTCAAAGCACTTCACACAATATGCTGTAAAGTGAATTGACTGTATATTTTTGGGCGAAACGCGGCAACCAATTGCGCACAGCAATGTCCCACAAACAATTGTGGATTGAAGTGACCAATTTATTATTGTTCTGTTTTTTGGAGGAATTATTTTTTGGTTCCAGTATGGTTCCTTGTATCATAGGATTATACAGCACAGAAGGAGGCCATTCGACCCACCGTGTCTGTGCCGCTCTTTGAAAAGAGCTTCCAGATCAATCCCACTCCCCTGCTCCTTCCCCATAGCCCTGCAAACTTGTCCTCCCCAAATAATTATCTACTTCTGATTCGCCTAAGTGCCAGAGCAAGATTTATATTTGTGTGAAGTAATTAAAAAAAATTACTTGGGAAATCTTTGCATGGTGCTCATTGTTTCTTTAAAAATACAATCAGGTGTTGGTAAAATGTATTACTCTTTGCAGTCCAGAAAGATGGGAGATGCTCACGTAGAGAGGATTGGTTGCCTGCAGATGGTGGAAGTAAGGGATAATAGTTGCCGTCTGCTGGTGTTGCAGAATAAAGATGTTGGTGAGTATGAACAGCTGGAGCTTTGGCTGTCACTGATGAAAAACTGATGTTAACAGCTATAAAGACGGATGTTCATTCAGTTGTGTAACTGGATTTATTTAGAAGAGAATTAATCCAATCATAAAAATAAAAGATTGGGTTTAGATGGTAAAATTTGCAATTTATGTCTTACTGAGGTGATAAAATGTTCAGTGTTGTTCGAAACTTTTTTCACCTGAATTATTCTTAAAATATTAGAATGTGAACCATTGAGCCAATATCTTTTTTATATATGATGCCTCTTGTGACAGTCCATTAAGTGGGAATTTCTCCCAGTGTCCTGGTCCACATTCTCCAGGTAAACCGGTCATAATAATAATAATCCTTGCATTTGATATAGCGCTTTTCACGTCGGGAGGACGTCCCAAAGCGCTTCACAGAACACACTGTAAAGTGAATTGACTGTATATTTGTGGGCGAACGCGGCAGCCAATTGTGCACAGCAATGTCCCACAAACAGTCATGGATTGAAAATGACCAATTTATTATTGTTTTGTTTTTTGGAGGGAATATTTTTTGGTTCCAGTATGGTTCCTTGTATCATAGAATTATACAGCACAGAAGGAGGCCATTCGACCCACCGTGTCTGTGCCGCTCTTTGAAAAGAGCTTCCAGATAAATCCCACTCCCCTGCTCCTTCCCCATAGCCCTGCAAACTTGTCCTCCCCAAATAATTATCTACTTCTCTCTTAAAAGCTGTTATCGAATCGGCTTCCACCAGCCTTTTAGACAATGCATTCCAGATGCCAACAACTCACTGTAAAAAAAATTCTCACCTCCCCTCTGTTTCTGTTAACAACTATTTTAAATCAGTTTCCTCAGGTTACCGACCCACCCGCCAGTGGAAATAGATTCTCTTAACCTTCTCTGTTCCTAGGAGAATAATCCTAGCTTTTCTAGTCTTTCCTGATAACTGAAGCCCCTCATTCCTGGTACCATTCTGGTAAATCTCCGTTGCACCCTCTCCAATGCCTTGACATCCTTCCTAAAGTGCGGTGCCCAGTCCTGAACCCAGTCTCTCGCTGAGGCCTAACCCGTGTTTTATATAAAGGTTCATCATAACTTCCTGACTTGTGTATTCTATGCCCCTATTTATAAAGCCTGGTATCCCGGATGCTTTTTTAACAGCTGTATCTGCCTGTCCGGCCACCTTCAAAGATTTACTATATGACCCCCAGGTCTCTCTGTCCCTTCACCCCCTTTAAGACTGTACCATCAGCGTATATTGCCTCTTCTCATTCTTCCTCCCCAAATGCATCACTTCGCATTTCTCCACATTAAACTTCATCTGCCACGTGTCTGCCCATGTTACCCGTCTGTCTATGTCCATTTGCAGTCTGTTACTATCCTCCTCACGGTTTACTATGTTTCCAGCTTAGTATCATCTGCAAACTTGGAAATTGCACTCCCTATACCCAAGTCCAGGTCATTTATAGAGATCAAAAACACCAGAGATCCCAATACTGATCCCTGGGGGACACCACTGCACACCTCCCTCCAGTCAGAAAACAACCATTCCCCACCACTCTCTGCTCTCTGTCTCCCTTTCAGTTCTGTATCCGCTGCCACTGTCCCTTTAATACCGTGAGCTTCTATTTTTCTTACAAGTCTCTTATGCGGCATTTTATCAAACGGCTTTTGAAAATCCATATAAATGACATCAACTGCACTACTCAACTGGTGGAGTCCTGTGGCTCAGTGGTTAGAGCACTCGCTTTGCAAGCGAGAGACCTGAGTTCAATCCCCGGCAGGTCAGGGCGAAATCTTGGGCAAGTTTCCTTACTCCACACAGAGCCTAATAATAATCCCTCCAAAACCAAAAACAATAATAAATTGGTCACTTTCAATCTACGGCTGTTTGTGGGACATTGCTGTGCGCAATTGACTGCCGTGTTCGCCCACAAATATACAGTCAATTCACTTTACAGTGTGTTCTGTGAAGCGCTTTGGGACGTCCTCCCGACGTGAAAAGCGCTATATCAAATGCAAGGATTATTATTATTACTACCTTCATCCACCCTCTGCGTTACTTCGTCAAAAAAATAGTTTATATTACCTCTCCTCAAATCCATGTTGGCTGTCCTTTAACCCATATTTTTCTAAGCAAAAATTATTTTGTCCTGGATTATATTCTCCAGAAGTTTCCCCACTACTGACGTTCGTTCGTTAGTTAGTTACTCGCCTGTCGTTCCCGGGTTTATCCTTCTGCCCCCCAAGGAGGATTGGAAGATTGTGGCCTGTTATTTGTTATTTCCACCCTGCGTTTACCTACAAATACAGACACTGCACTCAACAGCAATCACCTGTCCAGCACTTTGAGATGTTTTGATGTTATCACAAGGATTATTAAATGTTTTTATTTACTTCAGGCCAGTTTAGTGTTGTAATAATAATAATCCTTGCATTTGATAATGCCATGTCACGTCAAATGTTCAACTTTGTTTTAATGGTTGTTGTTTCACTTCTGATGCATATTTCTTCTGTTTACCGTCGAAGTGTTGACTTCTGGCAGCTGACTGTTCTAGGAGGATACATCCAGTGTGATAGCTATTATCGATGCCACCTCAGAATAAAAAAAACAAGTGAGTTTCAACCTCATTTTCGACCTGACCTGCTTTATTCAAAACCAGATGACAGTATGGTCATGCCTGACTATACCTGGGGTCATCTCATTGCCAGTATATTTGAGTGTTCAGTTGTTTCTAAATTAGTTCTATTTGGTCTAGTCAACAAATGTATTACACCAAACATGTTGTCTACTCTGACAATGTTTTAGGATGTGGGGTGAATGCATCAGTTCTGTGTTGAAAGACGATTATTTTGTGAATCTAAATGCATTTCAGAATTTCTGCTGACTTTAGCCGATGATGAGCCTTATTTTATTTCTGACACCTCATATGAAATTGTTGCACAGCAATGCTTGATTATGCTTTTGTGGCTGAGGCTTATAGTCCATATAACTACTAATGTAAGGTCCTGGTGTTCCGTTTAATTATTGCACTGTGTACAACTATAGTTCTGAAGATACTTGATAATAATCCTTGCAATTGATATAGCGCCTTATAACGTCTTGGAGATGTCTTAAAGCACTTCACAGAATATACTGTAAAATGAATTGACTATATATTTTATGGATTAACGTGGCAGCTAATTGTGCATAGCAGTGTCCCACAAGTAGTCTTGGTGACCACATTATTATTAATATTTTTTTAAAGGGATGATTATCCCCAGTTTCCTCAAATACGGAGGACAACAACATTCTGCTGTTCACAGCAACACTTTATACAAAGGAAAGGGTAGGGTGCAGGACAGGTCTGAATGAATGTCTTTAAAGAATGTAACTTTACAAACCATGTACTTAATAATTTATTGTGATTCATCTTCAGAAATGGTTGACAACCTCAGATTATTCTGAGAACTCAAGTGTGGTGGTGTGGAAACACCTAGTAAAAGACCCTGATGTTCACTTTGGTAACTATGAGAAACCCAAGTCTTCATTTCTAGCTTGGCATTGTAAGGACATTTTTTCCACTCAGCTGAAGATTACTTGATGTTCCCCCCCCCCCCCCCATTCTACAAGATGCAAATGCATTGTTTTAGATCCATAAAGTTATATACTGATTACATTGGGTCTATGGAAAAAAGGGCCACAAATCCCACTCCTGGGTCAACAGTTTGTTACTAACATTGCTTTCGGCGCCCCCAAATAGAGACTATTTGTAAAACTCAAAAAAGCTTTTGGCAAAAAAAAACCAATGTGAGTACTAACATTTTTCAATCCCGCCTGCTTTATTCAAAATATTAAGTTTGAGAACCATTGACAGTATGGTTATGTCTGACTGACTATACCTGAGGTCATCTCATTGTCAGTTTATTTGAGTGTTCAGTTGTTTAAATTATTTCTGGTCAACAAACACATTACACCAAACTTGTTGCCTACTCTGTGTAAGGGACTGGATTCGTTGTACATTACATAATCAAAAACCGACTGGAAATGCTGATGTAAGTCTATGATGAGCCTCTTTACTTTCTGACACCTCATATGAAAGTGTTGCTTTAGCAACGCTTGATTACATTTCTGTGTCTGAGGCTTTTAGAGTCGGTAAAGTCTGTTGCTTTTGGTCAATTACATGTTTTGTCACGTTAAAGGCAAAAATGACCTAATTTGAACAAATTTTTCAGCTGGACCAGAAACATCTACTGGAGTTGAAACGATGAACGATAAGTATCCAGTCGGAACTGATCTTTGTAGAGACTGTTTGTAAAAAGAAGAATTCTCTTCAAACCCAATAAAGTTTTTTTTTGTGAAAAAATACAAGTGAGTATTAACCACCTTTTCGATCTGACCTGCTTTATTCAAAATAATACGTTTCAGACCCAGTGACAGTATGATCGTGTCTGACTATACCTGGGGTCATCTCATTGATTGTTCAGTTGAAATTATTTTTGGTCAACAAATGTACTATACCAAACATGTGTACTCTGTCATTATTCAAGGATGTGGGTTGAATGTATTGGTTCACTGTTAAGAGATGAAGATTATTTTGTGAATCAAAATGCATTTCAGAAGTTCTGCTGACTTTAGCCTATGATGAGCCTTTTATTTCTGACACCTCATATGAAAGTGTTGCACAGCAATGCTTGATTATGCTTTTCTAGCTGAGGCTTATAGTCAGTATTAACTCTTAATGTAAGATCCGGGTGTTCACTTTAGCTATTGCACTGTGAACAACGTAGTTCTGAAAATACTTAATCATTTTATTGTGATTTATCTTCAGAAATGGTATTGGTTGATAAACAACAGATTGTTCTAACAACTTGAGCTTCTGGTGTGTGGAAAGTAGCAGCTTTGGTAAGTATGAGATTATTAATTGGCTCAGGCAACCTTTTTTAAAGATTATTTGATGTGCTCCCCACTATAAGGTGATCCAGTTCAAATAAATTGTTTTGGATCCATAAAATTAGATATCAATTATAATGGGTGAGCAGTGGGGAGAGGACCGCAGATCCCACTTCTGGGTCATCGGGTTGTCACTGACGTTACATCCGGCATGGCCTAGCTGGCTGCCTGTGCTGCAATTCTGACAACCACGAGAATACCCTTGTTGAAAAAAGTTTGCACTGGAGGAGGAGTTGAAATGACAATGTAAAGTTCTGTAAAATGTCAGACTGGATTCTTCGTACATTACATAAATCAAAAACCAACTGAAAATGCTGATGTAAGTCTATGATGAGCCTCTTTACTTTCTGACACCTCATATGAAAGTGTTGCTTTAGCAACGCTTGATTACATTTCTGTGGCTGAGGCTTTTAGAGTCGGCAAAGTCTGTTGGTTTGGGTCAGTTACGTATTTAAAATGGAAATGATCTTAATTGACAATATCTTAATTGACCATCTTTCTTTCAGCTGGACTTGAAACATCCACTAAAGTTGAAACGATGAAAGATAAGTAACCAGTCGGGACTAATCTTCGAAGAAACAGTATTTTTTGTCAAAAAGAATGATGAAATGAAAACAGGTTTGCAGCTTCTTACGAAGTAGCACTGTTGGTGAGGAAAACTGTTTTCTGATGGTGAAGAAACTGAAAGCAACAACAATTTAATTTGTAAAGCGCCTTTCAGGTCAGGAGGACATCCCAAGCCGTTGGACAGTCAGGGATTTGGATCTTAGCCTTCAGATAAATTAGTGGACAGCTAAATCCAGTCCAAATTTCATGATGTTCAAGTTGTTCCAAAGGGAAAGTACTCTTTCAGTTTTGGTCTTTAAGATACCTGGTTGTTTCGTTATTAGAGGGGAAGGACAAGTTACAAGAGGGACCTAAATTTCTTGATTTCAGTGAGTGGCTGAATGATTTTCCACTTTTAAATGATATAATGGCTCATTGGAACAATTTAATGTTGCAGGGAGATGTTTTTGAATCTTGCCCATGACATCTCAGCCACTTTGAATGCATAGAAAGGCAGCTGGAAAATGAAATTTGAATGTCACTCATGATTTCACTGCAGAAGCTGACATTCCTTTGTTTAGTAATCCCTTGGACTCCCAGAAGAGAAGTTCGGTAGACAAGACCAAACATTGCGAATAGAAATCATTGATCGAGGAACCAATTCATCAACCACAGACCTGGTAACTACTACCACCAGATTTTATTCCAAACAAGATGTTTTGCCACGTCTACATTTGTGAGCAGACCTTAGTAAAGGAAATCATTAAAAACAAATGCCCATTGCAACTGACAGATCAAAATCTTACCAATCTCGTGTGTTTGCCCATTTCTCAACTATGGCCGGAGATTGATAAACTAGTGGGATTTGGGAGATTGTGTATTACCAGTTGTACTACATGACTTTGTTCATGCTATATTGGATTTAATAAATGTAAACTTAATTTTATTAAATATCTGCAGTATTTATCTCTGCCTCCATTCTCGACTCCATGACTGACCACTGCTGTGTGTCAGACATCAAGTCCTGGATGACAGCTAACTTTCTACAGGTGAACGTCAACAAGACCAAGGCACTCCTGATTGGCTCCCGTCAGCTCCTGCACATCTCAGCCCCTGACAGCAGAACCATCCAAGGATGCACAATTCACCTCACTGAGCCAATCCGGAACCTTAGTGTCTGTTTGACCCTTTACCCCACATTTGTGTCATGGCATGCTCTGACTTCCCCCACCTCTGCAACATCGCCTGGCTCTGCCACCGCCTCGTCCCTCAGGCGGCTGAAACCCTCATAATAATAATAATAATCCTTGCATTTGATATAGCGCTTTTCACATCGGGGGGATATCCCAAAGTGCTTCACAGAACACACCTTAAAGTGAATTGACTATATTTGTGGGCAAACACGGCAGCCAATTGCACACAGCAATGTCCCACAAACAGTCGTAGATTGAAAATGACCAATTTATTATTAGGTGTGTGGAGTAAGGAAACTTGCCCAAGGTTTCGCCCTGCCTGGAATTGGACTCTGGTCTCGCTTGCAAAGCGAGTGCTCTAACCACTGAGCTACAGGACTCCACACATTCATTATTTCTAGGCTCGACTGCGCCAACTTCCTGCTTGTGGCCTTCCCATCATCCAGAACCCTGCAGCTCGTATTCTCACACACCAGGGTCCATAACCCTATCACCCTCACCCGGCTCCATTGGCTTCCCATCCCCCAGAGGATAAGAGTTCAAAATTCTTGTCCTTGCCTTCAAGCCCCTCCACGGCCTTGCCCATCCTTTCCTCTGCAATTTGCTGACCCTATGTCAACCTGTCCGCTCTGGCCTGCTCCACCATCAAGCCTGAAATGAAGTTATTCCTGGATAAGTTTGTAGTACATTGGAATTAATTTGGTAGTTTTGATTTACCTACTCACTTTCCCTCAGCTTACAGAGATCTGAAACCCTCCACATAAAGTGATATCACTGGTATAATTTACTGCAGAAACGTTCAAGATCTGAAACCATTTATAAATAAAAAGCTGAATTTAATTTTGTTTCCACACTCCACACGCCTAATAATAATCCCTCAAGAAAAAAATAATAAATTGGTCACTTCAATCCACGACTGTTTGTGGGACACTGCTGTTTGCAATTGGCTGCCTCATTCCGCCCACAAATATACAGTCAATTCACTTTACAGGATATTCTGCAAAGCGCTTTGAGATGTCTGTGGACGTGAAAAGCGCTATATCAAATGCAAGGATTATTATTATCAGCAGGGTAGCGGCCTATTTAAAAGAATTGCACCACTTTTGCTCAAATTTGTTTTTGATAAGTTGTAGGGGGGTCTTCCAGCTCTAAGCCTGTGCCACCATTAAGTTTGCTTTTTTTAAGCTGCTGTTGGCCAGAAGACAGATTCAGGAAATTGTATTGTAAAAGTATTGTGCTTACAATGAGGTTTCTGTGTTGTCTCAGCCCTTGAGTGATTGTAGTAAGCAATCTTGAGATAGCTCGAAACAGATGCTTCAATATGTGTAACTTATGATTAAAAATAAATCATTTCTTACCAAGCCTCAATGTTGAGTTAGCAGATTCATGAAATACAAATTACAACCCTGATATTAAACATAAGTCGAGTTACATTGGCGCAAGTAAGGAAGTTTAGTTCAGAAAAACCAGTGCAGTATCACAAGATTCAGGTCGTCCATTTAACTTGAGTTATTTAAACATTACATAGTAATCAATCATTAGCTAGTCCAGAGCAGGTTTTAGTTTTCTGATTAACTTGCTGGCTTTAGGTGGACAAGTGCATGCCATAGTGAGGCATTACATTAGGAGGAAGTAAAATGTGTGAGAAACTAGCCGGCATAGGTAAAGCAGCCTGTGTCAACAGACATTTCATGAACTGTCCTTGAAGACACAGCCAATAACCTTGTATTTGAAATTGTTTTTTAATTGAATAAGAAACTTGGAGAATAGATGATAAAAAGCTGAATTGTGCTGTTAGGGACGAAGGAGACATTGATTGATTGATTCCGGGCAACGTCTGTAGGTTGAGGTGAAATTAAAATTTGGCTGTTTCTATGACATTCTTTCACCAACAGACATAATTGCTGTTAATGCATAATGGGGGTGTTAAGCTGTACTCAATTGAGGTATTTTGGAAGATATATAATGCATGTAGAAGTTTGCACAATTTCACAAACACTGGTTTATGTAAACGGCTGCCTTGGTAGGTTGCTGTGTGTGGGGTTAAGCTGAACTGGCTCAAGGTGACATGCCTGGCAATGGAATGCCGGGATCGAGCAGCCCTCTGGCAAGTTGTGCGGTTTTAGCTGGTTGGACTCCAGCAGTTTCCCCACGCACGCTCTGGGGTCCCCAAGCCTTGGATCTTGCCAACCTGCGCTTAATGCTTACTGGAATTAGGTAAATGGATCGTGTCCCTCCAGGGAGAGAGTCCACATTCCACCTCTGGGATTTCCATGTGAAGGTGGGATGAATGGAAATCTCAGCTTGTTTTGGATTCTCTTAAGCATGTCATGGTGATGGATTTCTGCATGGGGAGAGCAATCACGACAGAGCGGAGGCTGAGGTAAGCACTCGGTCAAGCTGTCGGAACTGTCGGAGCGACGAAAAAAGGCAAAAGTGACATTGGTGTGACGTCATTTTTCAACAGCAGAACCAGGGACAAACATCGACAAACTCAGAAACCACAACACTGACGGCAAATTAAAACAAAAAAACAAACGTAAAAAAATATAGAAAATCACTGTGTGAGATGATGGCAAGTGAAATGCGAGGACTGTGACGTGTGGGAGTTAATGAGGGCCCTGAGCCCCGGCGACTTAATCTGCAGCGAGTGTCTGCAACTCAGGAAACTCCAGCTGAGAGTAGCTGAGCTGGAAGCCGAGGTGCAGACACTGCGCTCCATCAGGGACAGTGAGAGAGAGGTTCCTGGACAGTATGATGGAGGAAACCATCACTTCCCTGAGGCTCGGGAGATGCTTGGCTCAGGGACAGGATAATTTTATCAGTCCTGCAGACAATGGGGTAATTACCCCTCTCTCCATTACCCCTCTCTCCCCTGAGAGAGGGGTAATGGAGCCTTGGGCTTCAAACTTGATCAACGGTTTTGATGGATCAGACACCTCAGGAGGTGGTTACCCCACCCCACACACCGAGGGTTCAGCGGGAAAATGACTGGGTGACTGTCCGGCATGGTAGGAAGAGGGGACGGACAGGGAAGAATGCCCCCAATAGTGTAGCACTCTCAAACCAGTACTCTGTAATGAACATTGAGAGTGTGGATATCTCCAGGGAGGACAGTATAAACCGATTGGAGGAACAGGGGGACGGACATAGGTAACAGGAGCAATGCTGTTGTCATAGGGGATACAACAGTGAGAGGTATATACCGACGTTTCTGTAACAGAAGATGGGAGTCAAGGATGGTATGTTGCCTCCCTGGTGCAACAGTCTTAGACATCGCAGAAAGGGTGGATAAAATTCTTCAGGGGGAAGGAGAACATCCAGAAGTGGTGATCCAGGTTGGGATCCATGATATTGGTAAAAAAAGGGCTGAGATGCTTTTGGGTGAATATCAAAAGCTGGGGAAGATACCAAAGAATCGAACATCCAAGGTGGTGATCTCTGGATTGCTCCCTGTGCCTCGGGAAAATAAGTACCAGAATGGCAGGATCAAGCATATGAATGATTGGCTGGAGAAATGGTCCAGAAAAGAGGGCTTCAGGTTTCTGGATCATTGGGACCAGTTCTGGGGCAGGTGGGACCTGTATCATATGGATGGGTTATACCTAAACAGGGCTGGGGCGAATGTGCTTCCAGACAGGCTATCTAATGCTGTTGGGGAGGGTTTAAACTAGTTTTGAGGGGGAAAGGGAATGCAAAAAATGAAGAGCTAGAAAATGGAGAAATAAAGCAGGAAGTAAGTGCAGAACAGGTCAAGTCGGTCTTGGAGTGCATGTGCCTAAATGCACGGAATTTAGCAAACAAGACTGGTGAGCTGCAGCTCAAGTGGTCAGAGGGGGATACGATGTAGTAGCAGTAACAGAGACTTGGCTCAAGTAAGGACAGGAATGGGAGCTGAATATTCCTGACTATAATGTATTCAGCAGAGATAGGGAAGGAAAAAAAGGAGGGGATGTGGCAATGTTAGTCAAGGATACAGTTATAGCCGTGGAAAGGGTTGAAGTGCTGGAGGGCCCCAAAACAGAATCTATCTGGTTAGAGTTAAGGAACAAAAAAGGAGCTGTTACTCTGGTAGGGGTATACTATAGACCACCAAATAGTGGGAAGGAAATAGATGAGCAGATCTGCAAGCAGATCGCAGACAAATGCAAGGCCAATAGAGTCGTGATAATGGGGGACTTTAATTATCCCAACATAGACTGGCAAAACAACAGCGCAAAGGGCAAGGAGGGGGAAAGATTCCTAAAATGCATACAGGACAACTTTCTTGATCAGTACGCTTCCAGCCCAATGAGGAAGGAAGCAGTGCTAGATCTAGTTCTGGGGAATGAAGCAGGACAAGTGGAGCAGGTTTCAGTGTGAGAGCATTTGGGCAATAGTGATCACAACATCATTAGATTCAAAGTGCATATGGAAAGAGACAAGGAACCATCTAAGGTGAAGATACTCAACTGGAAGAGAGCAAATTTCAGTGGGTTATAAAGGGACCGGGCCAAGGTGGACTGGAAAGAAAGATTGGCAGGTAAAACAACTAAAGAGCAGTGGGAAGTCTTCAAGGATGAGATAGCTCGGGGACAGAATAAATACATTCCCACAAAAGGTATGTATGTAGGGTATCCAAACCTCCCTGGATGACGAAGGTAATTGTATCTGGAATGAAGCAGAAAAAGGAGGTGTATGACAAATGTCAAACCCAAGATACAGAAGACAACCAAATAGAATATAGGAAGCGCAGAAGAGGTTTGAAAAAGGAAATAAGAGGCTAAAAGATTA